GGCTGGGGTTCAGTCTGGTGGATGGTAGTTGAGGAAATAATTTGAGATGAGGCATAATCAGTAAACAGTGGGTTGCAGGACACCAGAGGGTCTGATTAAATGGACATCACATGGAAAATCATAAGCCCACAGAAGTCAAAGGGTAAGACGCAAAGCAGAATCTAGTGTAACCATGGCATCCGACACGGAACCTAGAAATCCTAGAGGCGCCACCTGCAGGTGGAAGAGCTGTAGGCGCGGCCCGGGTGTCACTGGCTGCCACCTCCCCTACCCACGTCAGGAGTGAGGTGGGAGGGGTTGAGGCCTAGAGAAATATTTGGGTGCAGGGATGCCTTGCATCATCTCCTCAAATGACCGTCCTCTCCCTCTGGTGGCCATCATTCACACACACAAGCTGGCCCTGGCGTGGTCCTCAGGCTCCAGCAGCCAGCTCTGTGGTCATGGGTCAGTTTCTTCTGCTGAGCAAGTAGCTGCACGATGAGGGATCAGTTACCTCTTTTTTTTTTTTAACATCGTTGTTGGAGTCTAATTGCTTTACAATGGTGTGTTGGTTTCTGCTGTCTAACAAAGTGAATCAGCTAGACATATACATATATCCCCATATCGCCTCCCTCTTGCATCTCCCTCCCACCCTCCCTATCCCACCCCTCTAGGTGGTCACAGAGCACCAAGCTGATCTCCCTGTGCTATGCGGCTGCTTCCCACTAGCTATCTATCTTACATTTGGTAGTGTGTATATGTCCATGCCACTCTCTCACTTCGTCCCAGCTTACCCTTCCCCCTCCCTGTGTTCTCAAGTCCATTCTCTACATCTGCGTGTTTATTCCTGTCCTGCCCCTAGGTTCTTCAGAACCACAGTTACCTCTTCTCTTACATTCTCCTCTGCAAGATGAGAGCGTTGGGGAGAGCTGAGGCCACTCCCACCTCCAACACACTGTGATTCTCTCATTATAGTAAAATGGGTTTAGCCCCGATGTCTTCATCCATTCAGGCTGCTGTAACAAAATACCATAAACTGAGCGGCTTATAAACAACAGAAATTTATCTCTCTTAGTGCTGGAGGCGGAGAAGTCCAAGATTGCTGAGTCAGTAGATTCAGTGTCTGACGAGCCTGTTTCCCGGAGAGCGATTTTTTACTGTGTCCTCACAGGGCAGAATGGACCAGCCAGCTGTCTGGAATATCTTTTATAAAGACGCTAATCTCATCCTGAAGGCTCAACCGTCAATACCTAATCACCTGCCAAAGGCCGAACCTCCTATCACCATCACCTTTGGGGTTGGGATTTCAACATATGAATTGGCGGGGGTGGTACACAAGCATTCAGACAGCAGCACCTGACAAGGAGAAAATCCTGACTTCAGCCTTGAGTAAATGCAATCAGTCCAAAGTGTTTATTAAATGGTTTTCTTCGCAGAGAAAGAAAACCATGCTTATGGTGATGTGACTGCCATTCAAAGTTACAAAGGTTTGCTTATAAGATTCTTTGCTCCTGTCTCAAAGGAACTGACTTACAACTTTGTCCATGTGTAGCTTGTTTTCTGAACATTTTTTTAAGCAACAAAAATTCACCGTTGTCTAAAATGCCTGACCCTTTATAAGGCTCCAGTGATTTTCCTCTGGCAAGCTTCCTCCTTCACACGTACTAACATTTCACTTCGCCGTCTTTACGGTTGAGTCTCCAACTCCCTCTTTGTGTTCCTCACAAGAATTCGTGTCTGCAGGCAGCCAGCGTGAAAACTGGGGAGCAATCTCTCCTGAGCTCCCGCCCCTCCAACCGGTCCCGGGCACTGGTTCATTTCTCTCCACCTATGATTCTATGAGAAAATGTCCGCCCTCTTTGCAGATCTTCAATTTCACATACTTTTCTGGGTTCCTCTGAATTTGCTGAGAGCTTAGACAGCACTTGCTTTTATTTTTCCACCCCAATAACTTTCTGTCTTTTGCTATGTTAACAGAACTCTTTTGAACCCATAGAAAATTTCTCTTTCACATAATACAGGATCTCTTATCCTTCCAAGTAAACAAGGTTACATACACCTGCATAACCCAATCAATAAACAAATGGATTATCAAGTATCCTTCAGATAAATAGCCGATACCCCTTGACTGCCAACGCCAGTGACATCTTCGAAATAAATCTAATAGAGAAAGACTGGAGTAACTGATTCCTGTGTTTTTTTTTTTTTTTTTTTTTGTTGAGATGAAACTTGAGCCTGCAGACAGCGCTGTCATTGATTTTTAGTCTTTTATCCTCCATGAAAGAAGCCCCCTTGTTCCAGCTTTAGCAAAATAGCAAATAGCCTTTGCCTGTATTTCAGGTCCTGCGTGCTGCCTCTCTCTCACCTCCTTGGATTAGGGGGCCAGGTGGTCCGTGGTGATGCTGGATTCATTAAGAAAGGCCTCTGAACTGCCTCATCCACTGGGCCCCTTGAACCTGTTAGAAGGCAGTGGACCTGTGGTGACTGCAAGTTGCTGGGAGCGCTCACAGCTTCTGCTGAGAACAGGCGTAATGTGAAAGGCTGTAGGAGAGCAGTGAAGTGTGGCACTAATGAGATTTAAACACATATATAAGATGCGCCAAAAGATGGGGAAATATTCCATTATTAAAGACCAATGACGTGAGCTTCCGACTAATGAGCTCACAGCATACTCAGTGGAACCATCGGAAGAGTAGCCCAGGGGGTTACCCTGCAGGTAGATGTTTTATTCAAGTCTGCGTTTCATAAACCATCTCTTCTCTCCAGACCTTCCTAGGACTCGGCTTCTCGCCGGGACCCCTTGCAAAGGAGCAGCTAGTGATTACACTTGACACTTGAGAGGAGAGCCTCCAGTCGGTCAGCCGGGCTGCCTGCCTTCTCTGTCGCCTCCCCGTGGAGTCCTCCATTATTCAGATGTCTGCTGGCACCTGCTAGGAAGTCAGGACTGTGCCGGGGGTATAACGAGCAGAGAAAACCATGGCTTTAAGCTTTCTGGTTTTATGGGGGTAGGCACTGTCTGCACCGCAGTGTGATAAGTTCTGTGAGACTGTAATCATTTGAGTGTCCCCCACCACAGTTGAGTGATTCCCGTACATTATGTCTGTCATTCAATGCCCACAAGGGCCTGAAAGATGGTGCTGTTACACCCATTTTATAGGTGTGGAAACTGAGGTGTCTAATCTTAAGGAATTGCTCAAGGTTTGCAGCCTTGTCTGCAGGAGTCCAGGGCCAGAGGTCTCACCATTGCAGAGCCAGAGGGAACAGGAGGATTTTTGTTTTTTGGGTTTTTTTTGCGGTATGCGGGCCTCTCACTGTCGTGGCCTCTGCCGTTGCAGAGCACAGGCTCCGGACGCGCAGGCTCAGCAGCCACGGCTCACGGGCCCAGCCGCTCCGCGGCACGTGGGATCTTCCCGGACCGGGGCACGAACCCGTGTCCCCTGCATCGGCAGGCGGACTCTCAACCACTGCGCCACCAGGGAAGCCCAGGAGGGGTTTTTGAGGGCGCCCCGGGAACTTTCTAGCTGACTTTCACAGACACATGGGGGTAGAGCCAGGTCTGAAGGAGAAGCAGGGTTAAATTCAGCAGGGGAGGAGGAGAGTCATTTCAAACAAACAGAAAAAACAACGTGGCCCATGGACAGAAGGCTGATCTGACGCCTGTGGCCCCATGGGGATCATGACTGGCGTGGGGATGGGAGACAGAGCAGCAGATGAGGCTGGAGCGAGGTGCCCTTGTTTTCTGGTAAATGCTGCTGTCCCAGCCTGACCTCTAAGGGTGCCCTCTTGTTCAGAAGTGTCCTGGTTTGGATGGTAAATTGCGTGGTTACCTTGGGCGAGAAGGAGAAGCCAGGAGGGGCTTCTTGCTAAGGAACAAGACTTTCACCCCACAGGCGTTTATAAGGAAGGCGCGTCTTCAGTCTCACACTCTCTCAACTGAGCTATTTTGGTGAGGATTGTAAGGAAGCCTCTGACAACACACGGAAATTTTGGAAAAGTTATCCCGATAGCATGGGGGAGGGGTTGGAGAAAAACGAGGGACCTATCAGGAGGTCATGGCCGGGGGCCAGAATGTGGGCCTGAGCCCAGGCAATGGCTGCGACAATGACAGGAAAGGGACAGACTTGACCAGAGGTGCCCAAGAGGTTAATTGCCACGTCTCTGGAGCTTGTCATTGAAGACTGGGGACAGATGGGAGTTCCCGCGTGGGCGGCTGGGGGTGCCCCGCGTATTCAGAGGGCACAGAGCAAAGACTCGCGTTTCGAACTCTTGAACTTGAGTTGCCAAAGAACTTCCCACAGTCAGAAGGAAACGTGGGGCAGCTGGTGGGAAAAGAGTAGAGCTCGGAAGGTAGATTCGGGAGCAGCCATAGGAGAGCCGGACCCTGAAATGGAAGAGATCCATGAAACGACAGAGGAGAGGGGAGCAGGGCCCCAGGCCAAGGCCAGGCTGTCAGAGAAGAATGAGGGGACAAGAGGAGCCCAAGGATGGGAGACCGGACGCGTGCAGGGGTGGCTGCGGGGCCTCGGGCTGGACACCGATGGCTACGTCTTGGGAGAACAGTGGCAGGAGGTGGAGGTGGAGACCTGGCGACAGTGGGGTGGAGACTTCCTTCAGGGCCCTCCAAGGATCCGGAGCAAAATCCCTGGGAGAGGGCTTCCCTGGTGGCGCAGTGGTTGAGAGTCCGCCTGCCGATGCAGGAGACAAGGGTTCGTGCCCCGGTCCGGGAGGATCCCACATGCCGCGGAGCAGCTGGGCCCGTGAGCCATGGCCGCTGAGCCTGCGCGTCCGGAGCCTGTGCTCCGCAGCGGGAGAGGCCACAACAGTGAGAGGCCCACGTACCACACACACACAAAAAAAAGATCCCTCGGGGAGAGGGGTCACCCCACCCTGCACCCTACTCCCCACCTCCCTGGCCTCCCAGCCTTCGCTCTGGCTGCGCCCAGTGCCCGGCCCACCCTACCTGGCTTACCACTTAACTCACTCCAGACCCTCCTTTTCTCATATTTTCTCACCACCCGCAGAGAGCCAATCAGCAAAATCCTGTCTCAACCAGCCCAGGTGCCCCAAATCCAGATCGGAGGACCACCCCTCACGTCACCACCATCACCTGCCTGGTCCGAGCCGTCACCCCCCGTCACCACCTCACCAGGCCCTGCTCCATCCTCCATGCTCCATCCAGGGTAAGCCTTTTAATGCATAAGTCACATCATGTCACTCATCAAACCCTCCGATGGCCACCAGCCAACTTAAAATCTAACGTGCTTGCTGGGATTTAGGGCTGCAGCTCTAATGTCCTCTCTCACTCTCCAGCCAACTGTTCCTGAAACCCTCCCTGCGGCACAGGCCTCAGGCCCCTGCACTATGTCCCTTGGTCTGGAGCCTTCTCCCCTAGACATTCACATGCCCCACTTCCCCCGTTCACTCTCTGCTCAAATGTCACTTCCCCTACCTTCCCTGACCACCCATCTAAAATGCATCCCCTTAGCTCTCCCCTAGCCTGATTTATTTTTCTTCATAATAGTTATAACTTCCCATTATATTTTTTCCATTTTTCCGATATAATCTATATACAGTAAAATTCACCCCCTTTTTTAATGCACAGTTCTCTGAACATTGACAAAAAACGTACAGCCCTTTAATCATCACCACCATCAAGATAGACAGCAGCTCCTTCACTCCCCAAATTCACTCACTCCCCCTTGGAGTCAAGCCCTTCACACCTGGTCCTCAGCAATCTGTTTTCTGTCCTTACAGTTTTGCCTTTTGCAGAGCATCACCTAAAGGATGGAGTCATACAGTATGTGGTGTTTTGCGCCTGTCTTCCTTCCTTCGTGTAATGCGTGTGGGGTTCATTCACGATGTTGGATATGGCGGGTCTTTCCTTTTGTTGCTGTGTAGTATTCCATTGTGTGGGCGACCAGAGGCTGTTTATCTATTCCCTACTGAGGATATGTGAGTCGCTTTCAGTTTTGAGGGGACATGATTACAGCTGCTACAGCAACTTGTGATCAAGTTCTTGTGAAGACATAAGGTCTCATTTTTTTCTTGAGTAAATACCTAGGAGTTGAGTTGCTGGGCCATACGGTAACTGTATGTTTAACTTTACAAGAATCTGGCAATCCTTTGCCAGAGCGGCTGTACCGTCTTACATTTCCACCAGCAAGAGACGGCAGCTGCAGTTGGTCTGCATCCTCACCAGCACTTGGTGGTGTTGGTTTTTTGGTTTGTTTTTTGTTTCACCGTTCTAACCAGTGTACAGTGGTATCTCGTCATGGTCCCGTCATTACGTATTGATTTGTGAGAGACTAAATATACAAATGGACAGTGGCTAGACCACATATGGCAACAAACTATAACCCACCACTTCTGCAGCAGCCAGCCCAGAATGGTCCAGACTGAGTCAGACAGTGCCAGCTCCCTCTAATTTTTGCCCCCCCGCCTCCAACTCAGGACCTACCCAAGAGAGACAAATATGTTCCCCTAACGAAGCACATAGGATGCCCTATTAACCCCTCTCTAGCTTCCTGAGGCCAGCGACCTCCAGCCAGAGCACACCTGAAGTCTTTCCCTTATGTCCACCTTAAAGGCATCCCAGTTCCCTGCCTGCCTTTGACTCTGCCTAACACGAGTGACAGTGGCTGACTCCCTGCTCTAGGAAGCTCTGAATATAACCTCTGCTTGTTCTCCTTTGAGTGGTCTTCCTTTATCTTCCAAGCCTGTGTATTCACTGTCTTCTTCCATCAGGAGAGGGTATCTGTGCCCCTCTGGATCCTCACTGCCTGGAACGGTGTCTGGCATTCTAATAGATGCTCCAAAAAACCTGTTGATGGACTTCAGGAAACTCCAGGCTTCAGTTTGAGCCCGTGGCTTATTTCCTTTGAATGGGGGCAGAAACTGTAGCCCAGGAAGTTGCCGGAGCAGTGAGGCCTGGGGCTCTAGCAGGTCCCTTGGCCTCTGCTAGGGTTGGGGTGGGCCCAGCTCTTCTCCTTCTCCAGACCCACCCCGTCTGCTGGTTGGCAGCTTCCTGCCCCATCTGAGCAGCCCCCTCTGCTTCCACGGGGAGAGGTAGAGGGTTTGGGCCAGCACAGGAGTGCAGCGAGAAGGCCTTCCAGTTCTTTCTAAGGATCTTGTCTGCTGTGGAAGAATGCTGAGCAGCCCCGGGAAAGGAAGCCTACAGAAGGCTCTTTCGGAGGCAGCCAGAATCTTCTCTGCTTTTGGAAACTGCCTGTTAGACTAAACATCTCGTTGCCCCAAATTGCACCAATTTTGGAAACGCTCCCCGAGCTCTGTCTCTCCCTGGGAAAAGGGATTTATAAACCCTTAGTCTGAAGCAGCTCTGCATGCATCTCAGCTCAAGGGCTTTCAAAAGGCCCTTCTAGAAGTCAACTTCAGAAATTGGACTTGCAGTAGCAGAAAAAGCAGATGCCCTAGACCCGGGTATGGTGTGCCTCGGTCCTGGTCTCCATGGGTCCCACCTCAGGAAGGCTGATGTGGGGATGGGATTAGCGCTCCAGGGGGCCCTCAGAGCCCTGGAGGCACCCACACTAAATCAAACAATAAAAACAAACAGCAGAATACAACTTTCAATGACTGCATCTCCATATGTGAGGATTTTTAATATTTTTTGTCGCTATGGTGTCAAATTTATTTTCTTAAATATGTCTAATTGTTCCTTAATCAGCAGTTATTTAAAACACCTCGGCTTCATCTCAGATTAAGTATTTAATGATCTGCAAAGGAAGATTTGAAGATGCTACTTAACAGAGCTCTTACCCTTTTGCAATGTGATCCATTTCACCTGCTATCTGTAAGAAAACCAGCTGCTTGGTGCTGTTGTTAAGAATGAGTTAGGTGATGCAGGGAGAGAGGGGGAGACTCCATCCCCACCCTGAGCCTCGTCCCCATAAGATGTCTCAGCTTGAGGAATCCCGAGCTTCTGAGGGATGCCTCTGGCTGGGGCTGTGGATACGGGCTCTGGACTCCTTAGCGGTGGGTGAGGCAGCCAATCTTCACATTTGTGCTGTTGGCAACCACAGGGAGACTGATGGAGTCTGGTTTCCACAGCTCTGGCAGCGCTCAACAAACAGGAGCATTCATTACTACACACAGCAACACAGATAGTCAGACACACAAAAACAGGTTGAAGTTTGGGAAGCACTGGGCAGAATTGTGATGTTTGAAGCAACTACACCTACTGCCTAAGACTCTTGGTTGTGTTTGGGGAGAGAGAGTTTTGTATAAGATTTGTTTCATTTCTATTGGGTTAGTTTGCTATGTCTTACCTGGCATTTCTGTGTAGGGCACACTCCAGGTTTATTTCCGGGGGAGAGATCAGAGCCATCAAATTACTGACAACGAATGAATGGACGGATGAATTGACGGGCACTGAATTGCTGGAAGACCCAGGTGTTGGGCCAAGGGACTTTACATTTTCTCTTTTCATCTGCCCAGCAAAGACTTCTTGTGAAGCATCTTAACAGACCAGGAAGCTCAGTATCATTGAGTATCATTGAGAGGCAAAGACGGAGTCTGATCCCAGCTGCAAGGGCTCTTGGGGCCGTGAGCCCCCGGGCTTGGGTAGAAGCAGCGACTTCAGCGATCACGAGCCTCAGTGATACTCGCCCTCCCCTTGTCCTGATCTGGGGAAAGGAGCCGTCGCACAGCTGGGGTGCTGCCGTGGGGAGGGGGAGAGGCGCCTGCAGAGGAAGGGATCCCACACCATCTTTCCCTCTGTCTGAGTTTTTCCCCCTGAAGCTTCCAAGTGATATTCTGATCCCTGACACCCTCCATCTCCTGCATCGGTAATGACCCGCCTCCCGGGCCCTCCGCTGCTTCTCTTCTGTTTCCCTGATCCAGCACTTTTTCCTCAGTGCATTATTTTCCCCCAGATTTTCAGATTCCCTGTGGATGATAATCAGACAGCAAGCTGCACACGCTTGGCAATTTTGAGTTTTAATAAAAAATCATGTTTATTCCTGTGAAGACTTTCTTTTTCTCCATGAATTCTCCTAACAAATGCAGTTTTTGCTCGAAAAAAAAGCTCGGGCTTTTTGTTTTTCTTTTTAATTTTTTTTAACATCTTTAGTGGAGTATAATTGCTTTACAATGGTGTGTTAGTTTCTGCTTTATAACAAAGTGAATCAGCTATACATATACATATGTCCCCATATCTCCTCCCTCTTGCGTCTCCCTCCCTCCCACCCTCCCTATCCCACCCCTCTAGGTGAGGGGGCTTTTTCTTGAGTTGGGTTCTTTAAAGCTGACTCTATTCCCAGGTTAGCTCTGATCTCAAGAGCTGGGATCCTGCGCCAAGGCTCTGAGAGTCCCAGGTCCTGGGGAAGACTCGCGTTAGCCCCTTTCTGGCTTTTCCTCCTAGTGTGTCCAATGCAATTTAGAATATCAAAGGTAAAGGGGGAAAAGAAAGAAGAAGTGATCCCTGCCTGCACGAGGACATAAAAGTCATTCTGATATTATGAGGAATAAAGCAATGGCACCTTACATCTTAGTCAAGAGCTATGGGGGCAGCAGGCCATCTGATGTGTCTGTGGCCTCCAGGTCTGTCCTGGGAGCCACCTCAGCAGGGGCCACTCTCTGATGCTATGTCACGGATGTGGAGAAGGTGACGTTCACAGAGGATGGTGGCCCCGTCAACCCGGCCCTTCCCCGTCCATGCCACGGCAAGTAGCTGAATTCCGTTTCTTCCTTCCCTCCCTGTCTTAACTCCCAACATTGGAGGTGACTGTCAGTGAGTCAGTGAAAAAAGTGACGATGAAGAAGAAGTAGTGTGCTTCCCTGGTGGCGCAGTGGTTGAGAGTCCGCCTGCCAATGCAGGCGACACGGGCCAGTCCGGGAAGATCCCACATGCCGCGGAGCGGCTGGGCCCGTGAGCCATGGCCGCTGAGCCTGTGCGTCCGGAGCCTGTGCTCCGCAACGGGAGAGGCCACAACAGTGAGAGGCCCGCGTACTGCAAAAAAAAAGAAAAAGAAGAAGTAGCAAGAAGGAGTAAAGACCTTGCATTGCCTCGGTTTGTATATCTGGACAACAGAAGAACTAGGCTAGATTGTCGTCTGGCACAATGACCTGGAGAGCTTTCTAACACCACACCTGCCTGGTCCCGATGTATTTGATAGTCTCCGAGGAAGGGGCAGCCTGTGCATTTTGATGTGCGTTGCTTGGTTGCTGCAAATTGGTGAAAATGATGACTGTCTGGGTCCCTCCCCATTCAGGTGCTCCGTCAGTGCGCCTCTGCTGCCGGAGACTGTAAACTCCTGGGAGGTTGTTTCTTTCTTCCCAAAGGGAGGCATTTTTCTCATCGAAACATAGGCGGCACTCAGGAAACATTTCTGGAATCAAATAGATGAAGTTATCTTCTTCTTAAGTCTCATTTTCTTATTTCTGCTGCTTTTATGAAAATACATTGGTGGGAACAAACAATTTTGTAACCTCTAAACTGTGTGGATTTGATCCATTTATAACACAAAGTTAGTCTAGCCCAAGTTTATCACCCTGAAGCTATTAGCCACTTGGAATCTCTCTCGGATGGGACGAGAGGTCATGCATTTACAACGTGTGGGTTTTATGAATAATTGTTTCCTCTTCCATGCTGAGCTTGTGTTTTCTTGATGAAAAATCCATGGTTTTTTCCCACCTGATCTGAGGCTCCTCTCACCCTTGGAGACTTCTCAGCCCTTGCTTTAATAACTCTGGCCTTTTTGACCTTGCATCTCAGCTTTCCTATGTATGCCCCTAGACTTGGTAGAAAGATCCAGAGTGTGTGTCCAGCAAATGGCCTCAAGGGGGGCCTGGCTTGTGGGCTTACCAACTGCGTTTTCTAACGCTTTTGCGTTTTAAGTGCTCCTAAACCAGCAGCCGACAGCACTCGTCATTAGGGAAGCTGTGGACGCTGAGTAGGTGCATCAGTCCGATTACTGGCGCATGTCTGGCAGACTTGCCGCTGTGGGTCGGGGCCCACTTGCAAGTGTCATCAGGGCTCTGGCAGCCTAAGCATTTGTTTTAGGCTTAATTGGCCTGAGGCTGGTACATGGACCCCGGCTTTGTCCTCTAAAGCAATGCACGTGGCACTGCAGTTGGAAAGAGGGGGAGCTGCTTTGGTAAGGCCTTTCACCAGAAGAATAAAGCCTCGGTGTCGCCACATCAAAGGCAGGTGGCAGCGACCATCGGCTACAGCTCCGTGTACCTCGGGCTTGCTGGGTAATGTGGCATGCAGCATACCTGAAATGACAAAAAGCACTTTTCTTTTTAATTCTCAGCTCCAACCAAATGCTTTCCCATGATGTTTTTCTCCCATAAATCAGCCTTGAGAAGAAAGCGTGCGTACACAAACATTTCTTATGAGTCAGCACTTTCTTTACTGCATTGTAGGAAAATAGGTGACAGTGTTTTTCCCACCCCACTGTCCGGCTAGTGGATGTAAGGAGCGCTGGGTGGAAATCAGATGACAGGCTGTAGCCCTGGCTCTGCCGCAGTGTTCTTGTGACCTTGGAATTGACACTTAACCTCTTCCAGCCTCAGTTTACCCAAGGGAAAAATGAGAATACTAATACCTATCCTGTCTGTCTCACTGGTAATTATAATAGCTGAGTGAAAGCCATCTCTGAGAAGTGCAGATTATCCAAATGCATGGCATTGTTTATTCCCACGACTTGAACTGGCGTTTTTGTTTTGTTTTTCCCTTTGGATCTGTGTTGTGGACTATTTTTCATCAGCCACAGAAAAGTGTCTTCAGAGCTGGTGTCTCTGGAAGCAGAAGAGCCTCTCACCTTCCTCATCTATCACTGTTTGTCACATTTCCTAAAGAAGATCTCTGTAGATCATGCGCCAGTTTGTTGGGGGCAGCTATCCATCAAGGTGGAACCTGGGTCATTCATCTTTACACCTGGCAGCTGCCACCGACACAAAGCAGATGCTGCCCTGAAGGGCTAAGAAGTGACAGAAACAGCTCCTCTGGGAGGGAGCCACAGCTCCCCGTGACTCATAGTGTGTACATTTCGGGAAGAAATTCCAAAGAGAGGATGTGTGTTTGAAATTATTGCCCTCCCAAACCCCTGTCCTGTTTCATGTGTTTCTTGCCCACATCTAACACCCAAGAAGGAAGGAATGGTCTCAGGAGACTCTGGTTCCATTTCCAGGTATCTTCATGTTGACATTACGATTAGTATTCAGTTCACAGAATGTATGGAAAGGTCAGGTGAGGCCTTTGTGACCACTCACACTTTGAGGAATTAGACATCATTTGTGCAGTGAATATCTGAGCTTGCGCTCTGCTCCAGGAGTACAATCATGAACAAGCCAGACGGAGCCTTTGTTCCCGAGATCTGACAGTCCGGGGGAGGACAGGGTGACCGGTAACAAGCAGTCACTGTGTAATGTGACATGGAGATGTAGGGGGGCTCGAGGGGCATCTGGTGAGGCGACTCTCTGGACATGGAACCTCAGGGAAGCTGCATAGATGTTAACCAGGTTGGATGGGAACTGTGGAGGCAGAATAGGGTTCAGGGCAATGGGAGAGCAGGTGTAAGGCCCAAAGTGGAGGGGAGGCTGCGCTAGAGCAGCGGTCCAGGACCAGCATCACGAGCATCACCTGGGAACTTGTTAGAAATGCGAAGTCTTGGGAACTTGTTAGAAATGCTAAGTCTTGGGCCCCATCAAAGGCCTACATAATCAGAAACTCTCTGGGTGGGGCCCAGAAGCTGTTTTTTTTGTTTGTTTGTTTTGTTTTTTTTGCAGTACGCGGGCCTCTCACTGTTGTGGCCTCTCCCGTTGCGGAGCACAGGCTCCAGATGCGCAGGCTCAGCAGCCATGGCTCACAGGCCCAGCCACTCTGCGGCATGTGGGATCTTCCCAGACCAGGGCACGAACCCGTGTCCCCTGCATCAGCAGGTGGACTCTCAACCACTGCACCACCAGGGAAGCCCCAGAAGCCCATTTTAACAAGTTCTCAGTGATCCTGAGGCACATCCTAGTCTGAGAATCACCACGTTAGAGGAACTGTAAAGTGTTTAGACCAGAATTTAGCCCAACTGAGCATCTTTCCTTCTGGAGGAGACATTACCTCCATCTTTGGCAGTATGGTGGGGCCCCTCCTGGCACCCTGCTCTCCTGTAGACTCTCAAGCCACTGCCCTTCCCTGACATGGTCAACTATGGGGTTTTATTCTCAGCTTCTGGTGGGAGTGGTACTCAACCTTCTCACCTCCACATCCCCCTCCCCCAAAGAAGTACAGAGAGAAATAGACATCCATAGTTACAGTTAGCGATTTCATCAGCCATCTCTCAATTACTGAAAGAAGAAGAAAAAACAGAAAATCAGTAAGGATATAAAAGACTTGCACAACAATATCACCCTGCTTGACCTAGTTGACTTTTATAAAACATTCTACCCCCAAACAGGAAAATACACATTTTTTTTCAAGTATGCAAGGAAC